GAAACCTCTAGAAAAAATCCTCGGTGAAGCTTCTAGGACAAAGCTTCTCTTCGCTGGCAAACCCGGTGACGCTTACAACAGTAACTATTTGTCTGGAATCGTATTACTCCACGCCAGACAAGTAACAGTGCCTTAGTGCTGTAGTGATGGGCAGTCTATAAATAGTCAGGATAAATAACCTGCTCTATTAATTAAAGCGTGCACATATGGCTGCCCAGGAAGGTTAGAACTACAGAGGAAGTCTCTGCACACATTGTAAAAATTATATTATTCAACACCTCATAATTATTCAAAAGATGCAAAGACAAAATGCTAAAGAGACTGTAGTTACAAGCTTCTTTTGACACTAACTTACATTATGCGCATAGTATTTCATCTGTTCATATCAACTGAACTAAGAAAATGTCTCCTCTCTTCTATAATGTAACAGCTTTGTTTTTCAAAGCTTTGATCTTGAATATTTTTGTATGTAAGAAGCCTTTGCTCAATAAAATGATTAATCCCAATGATAAATACTCTACATTTAGCTTTTCAGCACATAGTTGGCAGATGCTTGGTTGAAAATATGGATGCCAAAAAAATTTACAAAAAAAATTACAAAGTGTTCTAGACACACTGCAAGAAATAAAGCCTTTCAGACTGAAAGGTATTTTCTCTCCCTTTTAGCTGGAAAATGGGAGATCTTCAGTGGAAGAGCCAAGATATATTAGCCTTACACAAATAACCAGCACAACTGCAAGACACAGACCCTTTTTTTTTGTCAGCTGATGTGGTTCACACTCATTGTTGCCATACAGAGGAAAAAAGCCAACAGCCATTAAACTCTTGTCTTAAAAGGCCAGCCACCTGATTACATTCTCGGATCAATGTGATCACCATTACCAGGGGAAATCCAACAATACAGACGTTTTATTTGCATACAACTAGACAGATTATCCTGTCACAAGAAAAGGAGAATTCTTTTCCTCCTATGCCTCACTGCAAAAAAAAATAAAAAAAAAAAAGTAAAAAAAATCATCTCCATTAAATTCCAAATTTCAGTTGAAATGACCAGATCCAATTGCATTTATTTATCAACGAAGCACTTTCACATAGTTTGGTATCAGATATAATCCCTACAGACTGCCATCATTTTCTCAAGAGAAAATGACTGAACAGGTAGAAAGGACAAAACATTGTACTGCAGTTTGAAAGATCACTGGCACTTTCAATCTTCAGAAACATCTCAATAAACAAAATAAACACTTAGCCCAGTTTCTCCACCTAAATGAGGTGGCAAACAAAGGACTCGCTACCACAATGCAAGTTGTAACTCAGTAATTTCACTGACTTAGTGATGCAAGCGGAAAGAATCAGGTCCCAAGTGTTTACTGTTATCTAAAGCACCTGTGGATAGCAGGTTTTACATGACAGCTGCAGAATAAGGCAGCTGTGTCTCATTGAAGTGATCTCTAAAAGATGTGTGGTTATATATTTACAGTTTCATTCACAGCTTGATATTATTTGACACAAAGCAAACAAGTTATGACATACATATGCTGTATATACACACACTTCTTTTTAAAAAGGACTTCAAATTAATGAGTCGTTCACAGTGTTCTTCAAAATTCACATGATGGGATGCACTACTCTTGCTATATAAGCTTCCCTTTCTAAGGCTTTTAATTAAAAAAAAGTATAAATAAATCAGTACTTGTCAGGGCACCGCTGGTGGCCCAATTTCTGCCTACTGGGTGAAATCATCTGCAACACAATCAGTCTTAAGGGCATACTAGCAGGTCAGGAATAAATACGTACTCCATGATACAGGTGACTTGGTAAAGCAAAAAGCTGAATTTTGTCTGAAGACAGAACAAAGAGGGAGAGAGACCATTATCCCAGAGGGACAGAGGCTACTACCCACAATTTCACAATGTCTTCCCTCCAACACGCGGTTACCTACAGAGGTACGAATGCAGCCACGCACTTCACTGACGGGAGAACAGGAGGAATTCATCAGCCCTGCTCGGATCGCGTGTGGGAGGCTTTGAGAGAGCAGTGAAGGACTCAGGAACCTCCACTCCTCCCCCTCGCTCCCGGCCTAGACTCGAGCTGCGTGTTATTGCCTTTCTCTGGACAGGAACGAACGCCACATGCAAATACATTTACACTCTGACCATCACAAAATGGGTAGCAAGTTAAGTCATTTTAAAGAACAGATATCCTAACCCTAAAAGATAACATCAAGCCTTCACCAATCCTAATTTAAAGCTTTATTCGCATTTTCAAAAGAGAGTATGCACCTTCACATGAATTTACAATATAAAATACCCAAGTGACTACGCAGGGAGGATCAATCCAAGTGTTAGCACATAGCATTAACATGCTAGTATTTCATTTTTTTTTATGGAAAAAGCCCCAACTGACTCCCATGGTCACAGCTGACTGTTAGTGAGGAAGGACTGAATGGAAGCTGAGGAAATAGTTCTTGAACTTTAAAGATGGGCCTTGCATCTTCCAAAAGTCTAGGACTAACGGATTTTAGCACAAAGGTGACTCCTGCAAGTTCCCGAGCCGAGCTTCCACCTCGCTCACGGACGCTGCACCTGGCACGCAGCAGTGTGGGACAGAGCTGGCACGCCGCCGCCCCAGCACAAAGAGGAGGTCCCTGCAACGCCCCTGCACAGGGAATGCCTCCAGGAGCTCCCAGAGCCCCTGCGCGCTGGCCAGCGGGCCACCAAGAGACGCAGCCGGGGCAACCGGCAGCCTGCCGCCTCCAGTGACGGGGGAACGCGGCCGCCCTGCGCAGAGGGAGGCTGTGCACAGGCTGCATCCCAGGTGGTGACAGTTTTAGCACCAGGTGCGTAAACTTTCTTCATCCTTTCTGCCAAAGGTTTGTCAGTTTTTATGCCAGCCTGTAGTTGCTATTGTAGGTTTAATTGCAGTATGGTGATAATGCTATCAGTACACCAATCCTTTCAAAAAATATATATTAAGAATTAATTGGCTCCTAAATTTTCTTCACTACTTGCTATAAAACAATTTCCTCCCTTCCCAACATTCCAGGAAAGGAAGTCTAAAACATAAAAATGAGGGTCTGGCTTTAAGAGACCTACAAATAAGCTTGAGGAGATGATTCAGTGAAGGCTTTAGGACAGAAATTAATGCATAAATCAACGTCTCTTGTCCAAGTCCTCCTTCTCAATGGCCGCCACTTCTCTCCATTATGTCTTCCCCTGGTGAACATGCAGCCTGAACAGAATTGCTGCCTTGTTACTTATTTTCTCACTTACTTTCGATAATGTGTCCTTAATGGGAAGGAACGTCTCTTAACTTCGTGAGAACCTAGAAACCTGACGAGGTTACATTAAATGCAAATGAATCCTACAATAAAGGTTTCTGCTGTCAAGACATGCTGCAATCCCTGCCCTGAAATACAGATAATGCCCTTCAGTGGCTTTTAATGACTAACTGGCACAGCCTAAAACTGATATAATCTAAGTGATGAAAATACATATTGGATGATGCTTTCATTACTGTTTATATGGCTATTCATCATGAGCAACACCTCCGAAAGAAGAGGGGAGGTGAAAGGCACCATGCAAGCTGAGTGCCAGAGTTCAACAGTTACATCCTTCAGGCCAAGGTAAATTTATGTTTTGTTGACTGATGTGGTTGACTTGACTTTGCTGGGTACTGAAATAATTTCAAAAGGCATATTACATTTCCTACAAATGCTATCATTTAAAGTTCTATATGTTTTATTAAAGGCTTTGAAGTGTGTGATGCCTACTAATTAAAATGTATTATTACACACTCAATTATAATGATTGTTATCTACCTTAAAGTTTGAACTGCAGAGTGATGAAAACAAACCGCTTTCTGATTTTTGGCATATTTTGTGAGCACGGGACTACCTTGAAGCTTCTAGAGGCCCAGAGCGTGTCTGCAGCTGTTTCTGCAGCGGGCTCTTTTGTGAGGAGACAGTATGGAGCGCTCCACTCATGTCACTGTGGATGCAGGTCTACTGGCACGAAGACAGTCGGAGGCTCTCTGACAGTATCTAAGCAGCTGTGGGGATGGGGCACATAAACAACGTAACTGTATATATCCACACACACAACTGTACGGAACACTTGCCGAACCCCGCACCCAGACAGAGCTTAAAGCAGCACTGGCAAGCCAGCTCTCTGGGCGGGTAGCCCCGCAGGACAGCCGTACACACGCTAATAATTACACAAGTGAAAAAGAGATGTGCATGCCGCAAGCGCGGCTTCACGTTCATGGATAAAAATTAACAACTGCAGCACCCTGAAGCTCTAGGACAGCGTACACAGAGAAACCGAGTAGGGAAAAGGCGTAATTCGTTTATGCTTGCGAAGTATTTCCTAAAAGAAGCAACAGATCCCCCCTATCCTCTACCCCCACTTCCGATCACTCACTCCTGCCCCATTTGGTATGTCTTGGTGACAGCTGCAACTGCTGCCAAGTTAATAAAAATAAAGCTGTGTGTGTTGTCATGTGTTGCGTGTTTTCTGCAAGGGTGTTGGGCAGCAGGATTCATGCCTCTCCTTCATCTCCACACCTGCTTTATGTCGCATCCCAGCCGAGGGGAAGAAGCAGCGAGTGGGGACGCCCCAACGCAGCAGCCTGGCATCGCCAGGCGCTCGGAAGAACAGGACCACAGTAAGGGCCAGGCAAGCGTCCTGATGACACCAAACATGTAATTTTTAACCTTTGTAGCCTGAAGAATCAGCCTGGGGGTATTCTACATAAAGTCTTTCAGTGATCCCAGTCCTTCTCCAGAAGAGCCTGGTAAACTGAATTCCTGACCCAGCAATGGGGCAGGCAAGCAGGTAGGTCGGGGCTCGCTGCTCACTAGGGAGAAAGCGCTGGCCAAGGGTGGCGAGCGGTCCAAGGTTTCTTGTCGGCATAAGGGGACAGGGCAGGCGAGGAAGCCTAGGGAGAGGGCCTGCAAGCTCAGGGAAACAAATCAAAAGAACAGTTTCCCCTCTGCACATACTCGGATGAGCTCGGGAAGAGCCCCTTCCACTGGGGCCGGGAGCCCAGCGCTGAGCGCTCCCTTGTCACCGGAGGATGACACCGAAGGGAGAAGCGAGCGGCAGGACGAGCTGAGCCCAGCCCGGAGCGGGGGGGCGGCTGGCGAGCCCGGCTCCCTCGGCCCTCAGGCAAGGCGGCAACGGAGGGGGGGAACCGCTCTGCGAAGGGGGAGCGCAGGCAGGCCAAGGGGTGGCCCTCAGCCTCCCAACGGGCAGGCAGAGACTCCTCTCACCGTTAACTTCCCCCAGAAAGGGGCGAAAAGGACATTTCTCCAGAGAAGTAACGCAAAACCCACCTCCAGCGTATTGTGGCAGCTAAGAAAGAGAGAGAAAAATAATCCCCGTGCCCAACATGGCCGCCCACCCAGCACCAGCCATGGGAAAAGGAGGAGGGGGAGGTAAGACGGGGAGGAGGCGGCCGCCCCCTCCCCCGGGGGATGGCGACCCCGCCGGCGGCGGGGGGAGGCTCCGCTCGGCGCCGGGGGGGGGCGGCGGAGGGAGCTGCCGGGGCCGCCTCACCGCCCGTCCCCCCACCCCGGCGGCGGGGGAGGGGGGGTGCGCGGATCCCTCCGCCCGCCCGTCCCCCCGTGCCCCCCGCCCCCCCCCGCGGGCGAGCGGCGGCCCCGTTCCAGCGCCCGGCGGGAGCCGCCGCCGCCGCGGCTCCTCCCCGTCCCCCGCCTCGGCAGCGCCGAGCCCTCCCTCCCTCCCTCCCTCCTCCCGCCGCCGCCGCCGCTTTGTGTACGGCGCGCTTCGGCCCGGCCGCCCCCCCCCCCCCCCCCCCCCCAAACCCCGCACCCCTCCTTCTCCTCCCCCCAGACCCGGGCGGTTCGAACCGGTTCCAACGGTCACCGCCCGCGCCCCCGCCGCCCCCCCCCCCACATAACGGGTTCGCCCCACTCACCTTCCTCGCCGGCGCCGCCGAGCTCTCCCGCCGCCTCAGCCGCGGCCGCTCGCTCTTAAAGGGCCCCGCGCTCTCCGCCGCTCTCCGGGCGAGGCGACCGGCGGGGGGGGGCAGGTGGCATGAGCCCGCGGGGACCCGGGGCGGGATGCTGAGGGGGAGGAGGAGGGGGAGGAGGAAGAGGAGGAGGAATTATCTCTGTTTCTGCTCTCCCTCTACGTTCTCGCGGGGGGCGGCTCCGTGCTTTGCGTGTGTCTCGCCCCCCCCCCTCCCCAACACCTCAGAAGGAAGAGGGGGGAAGGAGGAGGAGGAGGGGAGGGAAGAAGGAGGAGCGGAGAAGGAGGAGAGAAGAAGGAAGGAAGGAGAAAAAAAAAAAAAAAAAAAAAAAAGAGCGCCCGGCGGGCTAATACACGCGCGAGGCGCCCGCAGACACACACACACACACACACACACACATACACACATATACACACACACATACACAAAAAGGGGACCTGGCCGGCGGAGGAATACGGTGACGTCATTTCCTTCTCGGCCGCGGACCGGCGCGGGGATTGGCGCGCGGCGCGGTGACGTCACCGGGTAGGCCGGCGCAAGCCCGTGCCCTGGCCCTGACGAAGTTTGTCCGAAGCGCAAACGGCGCGGGGCGCGTCGGGCGGGTCACACACCCCCCCTCCCCATCGCCCCCCCGCCCCCCCCCCCCCCTCTCCGCCGCCATCGCCTCCCTCAGCCCCATCACCCCCCTCAGCGGCGGCCGCGGGCGGCGCCCCGGCCCTGCCCGAGGCCTAGCGCCGCCTCCAGGCCCCGGCGCCCGGCCGCCATCTCCCCGCCCGGCCGGGCTCTGCGGGGCCGCCCGGGGGGCGCCCGGCGCCCCGCGCCCGCCTCCCGTCAGCGCTGCCCCGCAGCCGGGCCGCGCCTCCCGCCAGGCCCCGCAGGGCGGCCCAGCGCTCCGCGCCGTTACCGGGCTGGGGGCGGCCCCGGCGGAGGCGCCCACCGGGAGCGGCCCGCGGCTTCGGCTCTACCGGCGCCTTTGGAATTTGCCGCCCTTGGTAGCATTCATTGCGTCTCAGCCTCACCAGGCGCCATAGGTTGGCAGCGTGGTGAGGACTCGCTGCTACCATCTACAGGTGTAGGGATAATTAGTTACTGATGTTGTAATTAGCTCTTGAGGTCTTCACCGCGAGGTTCTTTGGGTGGCTAGCGGTATTGTCGAGGTTCGAGCCAGCCGCCCTTGCCTAGCAGCCTTTGGCTTTCTCGGGGAAGGGGAGAACTGCTGGTGTGGTTGAGGGACTGAAACCCATCATCCGTCGAAAGTAACGTGTCCGATAGCTGAATGTAGTTTGAAATTGGATGTAGTGACATCGAGCTAACATCTCTTGCTGGATGGGTCTCCGAACATCAGAGGATATGTTTGGCAGAGAGACTTCCAAGTTCTGAAAACGGTTAGAGGCCCTTTCGATTAAGCTATTCCTTATCCCTACGTTTTATGTCCCTTCTAAGAGACTTGTATCAAAACTTGGCACAGGCTTCATCCCTCGGAGATGGCTTCGAGGCAGAGGCGAAGGATTAATTTGCCATAAACTCCACAGCTTGCCTGGGGGTTTCCGGGGGGTCGGGGTGGCGGCGGGTGGACGTGGCGGTACAGACTAATTTGGGAGCTGTCTGCTGAGGTGTGAGGGCTTTGCCTAAGCGGGTGCTTAAGCCTATATCTAACTTCAGGTATTTAAACAATCCAGATACAATCAACACAACTATATAAATGCTTAAAAGTGTGCACTTGCTTAAGTACATTGCTGGATCGGTGCCACCTAAGTTTCCTGTGCTGTCAAGCCAACGTATCATCAGGGACTACATTTCTCCCTAGCATAAATTCAGATGGCTTCTGTCTTTAATAATGAACTTATTATTGTGATTATGTCTTTAATAATGAACTGATTATTGTGAATAATTGAGGAATGATGGAACATATACAGCTTTTAACTGCATACAGTACCGACTGAATGCTGAAGATAGTATGGTTAAAACAGATAAATGCATGGGTTTTCTTAACAGTTAATGTATTTAACAAAAATACATACATTTTATAACTCTGTTAACATTTATATCTTCAGCATCCTTTGAAACGTTATTTTATTTATTATTAAAACACTTGTATGAATTTGGTAAGTGGTATGCGTCCCAAATGGAGCCCCCCTTGCTGTGATAGCCATGTGTTGCTAGAATGTGATTTATTATTCTGTGGTTCATTAAACAAGCCCATTCATTTTTTTCTGATGGTCTCCATGAGTTACCAGTCCTTCTTCCTGGTTTACACAATGCACCAGGCTACTTCACCTCACGCTGGAGGGAAGGGTTTTCATTTTACGTCTGTCTGTCACCTATAAATCATACACATAGGCAATACAAAGGGCCACATTCTCTTCTGTGGTTATGCCACTGATAATAATAACAAACATCATTATCGCTAGTTGTGCATTTGTATTCCTGATTGTGCTTCACAGCCTCTGCCTTAGATGAAGTATTATTTAATTATTTAATATAATAATAGCAGTTTTCACTTGCTTTTTCAAAGAGATATTCTGGAAGCAGAAGCTATGAATAAAAAGCGTTTTTTTTCTGTAAATGAAGGGGAAAACAGCCAGCCACACTGGCATTGCTAGCAATGGGAAGAATTAAGTTTGTAAATGGAATTCAGATGTCGATAGCAGCAAGGATTTACCAACAAAGTTTTATATTACTGACTGATGACTAATGAATGTGTTTACTGCTGGAAAAATTATCATCTGCTAATCCTAAACTTGATTTCTTCCTTCCTTGTAAATGTAATGTTTCTTAGAGCTAGGGTCAAAAGCCAAGTTAAAAAAGAAAAGAAGCCATCAAAATTTACCAGAGTGGTTTTGCCTTTATCCGGTGTATGTTCCTCAGGTACCAAATTCAAATGAAATTAATAACAGGGAGAATGTGGCTGTTTTACATCACGTCACCATTGGCGAGTTATTTTTCAGTTTTGCCATGACTAGAAGGAAAGACTCTATTTGGGGAGTACAGTAGAGTGAGAAATTGTTAGTTGCTGCTGAAATGCATAAATTCACAAGGGTAGCAAGACAGGAGTCTGATATTCTTGCTCCAAAAATAAAATGCCTATTTCTTTAGAAATAAAAATAATTGTGAAACATGTATGTTTTCAAACACAACACACAGGTGGACTTTTGTGTTTCATCCCGTAAATACCAACTGTATGTGTGTTTGGGGCAGTCTAAGAGATTGTTGAATGATGGCTGTTTACACTGATGACCTGTGGCTGAAAGAAGCGGGAAACTAAAAAGTCTGGAAGTGGAAAGAAGGCAAATACCTGTGAAGACATAAAAATGCTGTTTTCCTCAGGGCTCATTCACCCAAGAAAAACAAGCCACGTTGAGATCAGCACGCTCGAACCAATCTAAGCGTGACAGTTGAGGTCCAGCTGTGCCTCTCAGCCAGATGAACCCTCAAGCATTTTTCTAATCTAATGTAGGTTTTAGTAATAGTTTGACGTAGGAAAACTCAACTGATGAATTACATGTTCCAAAGATAGTAAGTTGGAACATTGTATTTTGCTTCTGCAGGTAGCCAGTGTTTTGGACACTTGCCATCTAAGGTTTTCTGCCAGGGGCCTAAGATTGGAACCACCTGCAGGAAAAAGTGGAAAAAGTTTCAACATGTGGTTTTAGAATAACTGAGCAACTCCTTGGAGAAGCGTATTGCAGCTCTGAAAGTAGAACAAGGTGTAGCAGACCCTTCCCAGTTCTTAAGTATATTCAAAACCTAGCATAGGGCGGGTCAGAAAAACAACAAAAAGATTTTGAGGGAGCAGAAATTTCCACTAGAATATGTTTGAATGAACTAAGCTTTGAGAATGCCACTAACAATTTGAAAACAGAACTCTGTATGTGACTTCTTTTTTTCCTGTGGCAGATCGGCTTCAGGGGCGTCAAGGTAGACAGATGCTCGCGCAGCGAGGCGTGCTGGCTGCCCCAGGTACCCAAAAGTACTACAGTTAAGCGATGTTTTCCCTGATTTTTTTCAGTTTCTTTATTTTATGAATTTGTTGCTTTAAGTACAGGACGTTTGCCCATTTCCTTTTCATTACAGAACTCTCTCTCCATTTCACTGAATTAACACTTAGGTTCAATTTATAGTGTTTGTGATAAAGCTAACTAGTATTCTTTAGATCTGAATGTTTAGAACATCTACATGTTCTGTATTTTAACTTACATATAAAGGTTTGAACTTTATTCTTCATTTTTTCAAACAAACGTTGAAATAAATGTCTCTGGCCGCTTCTAAAATGTTGTTTCCCAACCTCCTCATTGAGCAGAAATCAAATGTGTTGTTTTACCTCAAAAGACTGGATTTGGGGAATCCTCCACTAAATGTTTTTCCCTAATACTTTGCACAAATGGGTCACTCTGATGCCTGAGGATGCTCATTAATTGGTTCCATGCTCAACTTAATTCTCAAATACATTGTAACTCATTTACAAGGTGTAACACAGAGCACTGATTTTCATTCGTTTATAGCTATAAATTTCTCCCTTCTCTCCAGAATTCCTCTGTGATAACTAAACATGTAGCAGATTTCTTCCCCTGCCACTGTTGTTTCTGCACAACCCAGTGGACAGTGCAGGACAGGAACGGGTGACCAGGAGTTACTTAAGTTGTTTTAAACCACATAACTACCGAATGCTTAAGCCTCAGTCACCACTTGTCTTTGAAAAGATTGCTAAGAAATAAAAATTCCTGCATTTCTATCTTTAGGGTAAAAATCTGCTGAGCTGTTTCTTTCAATATGTTGCAGAGAGGTAAGGAATACATTTTGTTTGGTCACTGAGGAATCTTTTAAGTCTTCTTTTTTTTTTCCCTTTTTTTAAAAAAAAACACCCCACCTTTTTTACTTAAATGAGCTATTACAATATGAAGTCCTGGGGGACTCGATTAACTCTTGGAGGTATGCACTTGGAGTTACATTTATGAAGATACTGCTGAAAAGAAACGGCCCTCTGAACAAAGCAATATCCTTAGAGTTCATACTGAAGGTTTAGATCCGTAAATCACAATTACAGGCTCTCCTGTGAATGCGTGTTTGTGTAACAAGGGTAAGTACCGAGGTAGATCAAACCTAAACTTTTTTTGTTGGAAGGGGACCAAACATTTGAAGGGATACTAAAGCACTTTACAGTTCGGCTCGCCAGCTAATAGAAGTCTCTCTCCTTTATTCTCGAGAGACCCTACTGAGCAGCACAGGTACAAATAAGGAGTGGGGTTCCTTTCCGTAAAAGCTGCTGAAACATGGCAGTTTTTACTGACAACTGCTAATACTAGTCCTGAAAGAATGACAGTATCACCTGCAAAATATGAGCTAATTACTTAGGCAAATAACCCACCACTGCAGAAGAAACCTACTCAAGGGAGATGTTAATAAAAATAGAGTTAGAGGACTCTAGTCTACAGGACTCTGGGATTTGGCCCAGGATCAAGATATTTCTCTGCAGGAAGCCATTGTGGCTATAAAAATGTCTGTCTTTTTAATCACTGGGTTTGTTTGCCTTGTCAAGTCCCAGCTGAGATTTCCCTTTGCAGTTTCCCTAAACATCTGGCTGTTGTCATTTCATTATTATCAACCTTGAAGTGAAAGACTGGGCCCTCCAAGATTATGCAATTTTTTTAAACATTATGAAATTATTAAAAATAATGAATTGTGGGATTTTGTACTCCATTCAGCTTCAAGCCGTGAGCTCTCCATAAACACGAGGCTTAGCATATTCCCTGTTAAAAAAAAAACAAAACAAAACAAAACATGATTCCTTCAGATAGTGTGACTGGGATTTAACAGAAATCTCTATTGTAAGATTTGTGATAAAATTTGAAGGTTGCCAAAAGCATAATTTATTATTACACGTGGAGATATTTAACTCTGGTTGCCAATGGAATTGTTGTATGGATGTTGTATTTTATATAACAATTAAAGAACAATAATGTGGTTTGCAAATCTCAATGAAGTTCAAAGGAGACTGTCAACATTTGTATTGCAGATGATCACTTTGCCAACTTGACATCAATAAATACATCGAGACCTGCTTCCATGCTGGTTTAAGACAAATTAACAGTAATGCTTTTCAGCCTGCCTTGGAATCCACATGAGATTGGGAACAAATATCCAGATAAAACATCTGAGAAAGGAATTCTGCAAACTTTGTTTAAAATGCGTTAGACATTTCTATCTTCCAGGCTAATTCTGATAACAGTGATATTATTTCAGGAAGAACACCCCTCCACTTCCTAATTTCTCAATTTTTTCATAATCCCTTCCCTTTCATAATCCCATAACCCATAATACTTGATACTTCTACTTTGCTCTTGTCTGTAGATTTAATGTGGCTGTTCTCCATTTCACACGTGTCACCGTAGTGAAATGACTTGTTAATATGGATCCATTGCAGACTTTGACAGAGCTACAAGTCCTTCTGATTTCCCAGTGAACCATTACCTAGCTGTTTTTTGATTTTATAGTTTTGTAGGTATCTTTACACCAAACTTGCAGTGGTTTTATATAGGCTATAGGTTTAGTTCGGGGGAAGGTGTGAGGCACAACATCAAACTTCTCACTATAACTAAGAAATACGTTCTCTTCTACTTCTCCCCTTTTGATCAAAGTCTTCTCATACCATAGAAGTAAATTGGTGTGCTGTGATTTGTTCCTGATAATTACAGGCTAGTTCTTTCCAAGATACTTTCGGGTTCTAACAAATTGTTGAATAATTTTCCAGGGAGTGCAGGGAAGAAGAATGGTGTCGATTTCCCAGTGTCTGATTTTGAAGGTAGGCTGTGATTGACTCTTCTTTGTCTTCTGCAAATTTATCCTCTACAAATTCTTAAAAAAGAAATTCTGGTGCCTACATTGACTCCAGCGTTGTTGTGGATGAGTCACTTAAACTACAGTTTGGGCCAGTCATTGGGCAGTTTTCATTTTTGGGTGCTCAGCATAAAATATCTGCAGCCAAATTTGCAGAAGGGACAAGTGAGCTGCGTATGGTGGTATAAATAAGCTCAGTGCTTGTGGGGTTTTTTTAAGTGGGCATTAAAATGTACTACGTGGTTTTGGTCAATGGAGTTATAATTCTCCTCTCTCCCAAGTCAGCAGTTGTCAGATAAACTAAACAATGCCACCTAACACAGTGAGTATTGTGCAGCTAAATTTAATAGTGTTTATAGAATACTTGTATGACAAGGTTCCTATGCAGCAATTAAAAAAAATGTGTTCTGTGCTTGGTTGGAATGTGTTGGGGTTTTTTTGATAACCTTGGGGTTGTGCACTAAATATTAATGGTTAAAAATGTGTTAACTACTCAGTTGAATTAAGCGTGTCTCTTACGAGAAAATAATTGTGAGTTATTTCACAATATAGGTTTCACAATGCACATTTAAAAGGCAACTGAATTTAATTTATTTGAGCATAAAAGGGGATTGAAATTAATTTATATTGACACCTTTAACCGTAGCTTTTATTGACGAATGCTTGACTTTGCAAAAGCAGTGTCCTCTTAATATTGTTTCCTGATCATAATTCTTTACCAGGTCTTATTCTGCCCTCACCTCTGTGGTGTTGGAAAGTTTTTCCAGCTGTCCACTGGATGATCTGACTCTTGCTTGTCCCATGTGGGTTTTTAATTTCCCATCCTCTTTACAAGTGAATGAATCCATCTCTAGTGGATTGCTCTGTTTTGCTGGCCTTTTGGTTTTAGGGTTTTATTTTTGTGTTGCGTTTGTTTAGATTTCTTTTCTTTTTTACTTTGCTTTAATACTCTCTGCACAATCAAGAGAAGAAAGAAATAACATTGCTCATCTAAATGCAATAGTCTTTACTCAAGCAATTCTCTATGACGCTTTTGCCTGAGGTTTGCAAGATTTTGCCTGTTTTGTAAAGATTCATTTAAATTGACACAATGTTTTCATAAACATTAAAAGGATAAACCCCTGGTATTAAGCTGCCTACCAAGCCAAACACACAACAGGGAATTCTTAGTTGCTGTACCCTTTGACAATGACATTTAGATTTTTGTTCTCATATTCTTGTTTTGGAGGGAGGATTGAGATGTTATTTGGAGAGGGAGGAGAGATGTTTTTTGTATTAGTTATATGACAAGAATGAAAATATGAGTGCAATGTAAAGGTCGTGATCCTAGTCCTGAAGAGGTTTTGCAATTTATGTGATTGCAGGACAAATTATACAAACAAAAGACATAACTTTTGGTTGCATAATTCTGTAAACATGTTACTGAGTTCAAGAAGTCATCAGTGGTAAGGGAGACAGAAAGCTTGACAGATGGCACTGTGAAACATGTCCAGGGTAGTGAAGAAAATAAATAATTTCTAAACATAAGTGTAGCTATTTCCTGTCATTTTATATGAACTTTTTGATATATGCCTGGTCAGGTTATAATGGTTAATAAATGTATTTCACTCTTCTTACAATGCTTTTATACAAGGACTCTCAATAAAAGATGAGGGACCCAATATTCCACATACTATGCATATGTAATAGAAAGGACATCAGTTAAACTAGGGAGCTTACAGTTTATTTTTCCATTCTACTTGTAACTGAAAGAATTGACATAATTGTTGATAGATCCAGTGTAGAATCTAAAGGTTGAAAATAACGAATTTTCATGTTATATCCACCTTGGAAGAATCTGAATCAAACACCTGAAGAACAACATGTCAAAATACGAGGCCATGCAGCATGGCATATCAGCTGAGAATGAACTATACAAAATCTCACGAAGAAGAATAAAAATAAGAGCATTTGAAATCCTGGGCCTAATACCCGGACTCATTCCATATGGCTCAAGAAATGTAATGAAAACCCGGATGGGACAGGTACTGTGTGGCCCCGTGCTTCCAGGCTTGCTTTGAGAAGAAAACGGAGGTCTCCGTCCCATGCAGCACTTCATGAACGGCACGCAGAGCAGGGAGTGAGGCTTTCGGGGAATCTTTGGAATGTGAACAACGGACTAGATAAACCGTCAAGCCAGATTGGCTTGACTCAGTTGGTTTTCCTCAAGCATAATTGGAGTTCAGATGCTGTGAAAAGGTACGGAGCAGAAACACGTGTGTTTGGCCCTACCTACACATTCCTTTTGTGCTGCTTTAGATACAATCATATATTATAACCATCTCTCAAGACAAGGCATGCTGATGAGTTGATAAAAGTATTCTACTTTGATGAAGTATGTTTGTGAATCTCAGTGATGACATTTCAGTGAGGTTAGTTCCTAGGTGCAGGATCACAAATCAGGCCTGCACTTGCCGACAGCGTTGTAGGTGTCTGAGCTGCAGCGCGGGGTGTCACAGTAGTAAGAGCTGTGTAGGAACCGGAGAAAATTGTAGGTGTAGGTTAGGTTGTGAAGGACTAGGTGAAAGTATTTGTGGCTGCTAGTGTGGGTTTGGTTTTAACACAGCCCTGTTTCACTCAACGGGTTTTATCTCACGAGCTGTAACATTTTCACCAGGCTGCTCCTGACCGCCCCTTTGGCACGCACATCTTTCAATCTCAAGTGTCTCTTCTGCACCTTCCCAGCTTCAGGCTGCCTCCGAGGCTGTTCCAGAGCCTGCGGGTGTGTACAAGCTCATCTTGGCCTTTCTGTGGTTTTGTGTTTGTGCTAGGCATGTGCGAGGTGTGCAGCGGCTCCCAGTGCCTCCACAGGGGCATGAGACGTGAGCCAAGAGCTCTAATGATTTCATGCAATGCGATACTCATCCTGAGCAATAGTATGTTCCCTGTTGGGTCAAATCATTTAAACAGAAGTAAGCTATTGCCTGACCAGTTTGCAGATGTGTGTGGTGTTTGTTTTACGTGCTTCCCCTCCGTGTGGGCTGGATCACTCCTTGCACGGGACTCGGGTGGGTGTGAACTGGCCTGACGGGCCTCCTGCTGACCTCGGGAACTCACCTGGTGATTTTGATGGAGGCAGAAGTAGGTCACTGCTGAGACCAACTGACTTCCCACCCACTGCCTAAAATTCAGGTCATAGATCTTGTAATTGAAGTGATGTCTGTGGACTCCTGTTCATCCTTGGAGTCAGTCCCTTTGACGTCAGTGGGGTTCTTCAGGAGCACGCTGGTCTGAAGAGATGGGTCTGATTCCTTGAGACGGATCTTCAGTGAGTGTTTTGTGGTGTCTCCTGAGAATACGCACTCGGGTTTATGAAATACATTACTCACATTTTTTTAATAGTGGCTTAAAAAAACACTGAATCAAGCTTATGTGTAGTAAAGTGGTGTTTTAAAATGAAAAATCAAGAAGGGAAGGAACTGTCTGAGGAGGAAAAGATCAGAAAGAGTGATAGATATGCAAGGAAGACTAATGGACACTAAGGATTTGTGGGCAAAAATAATAAAAATGCCTTTTTTTTTTTTTCCCCAAAAGTTATCTTTTTGAATCCACAGAAGTAAGCCCATCAAATGAGATGAGAGAGACACGACTTGGATGGCCCATCACACAGTTCAAATACCTAACTACAGCTGTGGAGTGTTGAAAACAAGATTTAGAGAAAAGCATTGCTGAGCAATAATTTGTTTGCATAAAATACTTAGCTAGCAGTCTGAAGCAGCAAGTAGGTTAACAGACTGCATCTGCCTAATTCGTGATCAGGAACAAAAGGCTCCGTTCACGAAGTAAATGTAAATAAATGGTTAGTTATAGGTCGTTCATCAGCTCTCCCTGGCACTGTCTTGGTTTCATGGAAGGGAATTGCTTAAAAAGTTCTAGTGTTTCAGCACTGTTTAGTTTTTCTGCTGTTACTGGTGGCTTATGTAAAAGGCAGAGAAGAAGTGGGACAGGGTTGTAAAATGCAGTATCCTCTCTTGAAAAGGTTTTGGAAATGACAGAGGTAATGTTGCCTGGGAAAATGTACCGTCCTTTCAAAAATCGGTGGGAAACAATAGACTAATTCTTATTAGGGACAGTTTAGCAGAATCCCAGATGGAATATAGAGTGAAATCCAGATTTTCCAATGGTTGGGGGCAGCTGTCAATCTTGAAAGAGCCTTCTTTAAGAAGTAGTTCTGTGAAGTTTTCAGCAGGCAAGTTGTCTTCTTGTAGCTGCCTTGTTGAAGGGACTGAAAGGCCATGAAATGTTAAACACATTGCCGCCTGCCAAACGAGACACATCCAGGGCTGCGATGTGGTCTGGCAGGCATCGACTCCTCCAGAGCTTGACACGCTGCCCAAAATCAAGAGCTGTAAAGCCCAACTGTTCCCCCCTTTGCTGGAAGGAAGCGTGCAGGCGCGCCCTGCACCACGGCGCTTCCTTGGGGACAAAATACCCAGATAAACGTACCTGCAATATAAAGAGGAGCGAGAGGAAAGTGCAGCAGCCTCAGAACCAGGTGCAGCAGGTGGACGAAGTAAGCCTCCCCCGCTCTTTCCCGGGAAGGGGAAGCTGAATTTCTGTCCCGGGGTTGTGGGGCCTCCCCGGCCAAAGCCAGCAGCTGCCTGCCGTCCTCCCGCGCTCCCGGCTGCGCCGGATCCTCCCCTTGGCAGTTTCTCTCCCCCGTCCTGCCCGCCCCTCCGCTCTTGGATATATATGACCCTCTCTGAACAGCTTTGCTTCCGAAATCGCCCGTCCAAGCAGCTGTACTTGCTCCGGCGCACGCCCAGCAGCCCTGAACAGCCGATCCGACATGGGTAAGAGATCCAGCCCCTGGACCCAGCCGGGATCTGCTGCTTTTGGCTACAGATCCCTGAAACTTGTAAGCAGGGGCCAGTGGGGTTGTTATCGCCGTGGGCTGGTAAGCGGAGTCGCGGGGCCGAAGTTCAGCATTTCCTCTGACTATTTAAAGGTTTACTACTTTAAGCTATTGAAACCCCCCGTGGTTTTAAATAGGTATCTTCAATGCTGTCAGTAGGTGCCTTTTATGCTGTCATTAAATGTCTCTTAGTACCTCAGAATTTAGAAACTGGAATAAGCATTTGGACTCGCTGCTCTGGCTGACTGTGAATGTGAACGACGCTTAGGAAGATTGCTGGGAAACTGAGGACCAGAATTTAACTTTTTGCTTCTATTTTTGTGATAGACCATATAATCTTTATGGACTTTCACTTTTGGATACATGGAGAAGAAATAGAGGGAGGGGACTAAAATAGATGGCAGCTTATTTGCATGTAAATGTATCACTGTGTAATTTGCAAAGGGAACACTGTTACATTGGGATTTCACAAAACAGGGTAGGCTTGTAGACATTAGTAAAAAAAGCCCTTATTATACAGACGAAAAACAACGATTCTGACTCAGCAGAAGTATCTAGTCTGGTTTATCTGCATAGGGTGAATGTTTATCTTTTTGTGCTTTTATCACAGTGCAAAGTAAAGGATATTTGTTTTACTTTGCTTTCTAACAAACTGTAAATTTCATTTTGTAACCTGTGATAATGAGTTTTCTCGAGATGGGTGCGGCAGGCTGTGGGAGATCCCTGGGCAGTGGATCAAGCCCAAGTTAAACACCACACCTTAGAGCTTAAAGTAGCCTGGTGGTGATTGGTCACAAAGTTTGGAAGAACATGCTCTTGCAGTGTAGAAGATAGTCTTGGGCTGCGCTTCACAAACGGAGCAGATCACTGAAGTCTGCTTGCATCATTTCTCACTGGGAAAATGACTTGTGTTCCAGAAACAACGTGCCTCTCTTGTCTCTGTTGTTCCGTAAGGCCTGGGTCTTGTCATGGATACAGTATAGCTGATAGGCTAATTTATTTTTTTCCCATTTGTGTGTTTATTTCAGCAGTTTAACACAATCATACCATAAACCAGATTTGCCTACCTTATTTTTTCATTATGTCAGGGTTTAGCCCGTGCATTACCCTAACTGCAGAGAACTTTCTATTTACTCAGGCTCCACAAAAAGCCCATTTTGGCCCAGATTTATTCCACCTAACTTGAAGTTCTCAACAGAGGTGGCTAATTTATTGCCACATTTCTCCTAAACCCCCTCTGTAGAGCAAAGAGTCTCCGGCACCTTCGCAGTTTGTCTTAGGTGAGCTCTTTGTGCTAATAAGTGCCTTTAACACACTGATTAGGTAAGTATAAATGGATTGGCCTTTTATTTTTTTAAAAAATAGCTGCTTTCAGAAGTTTCTGATAAAACAGTCTCCCAAATCTTGCTTTTATAAAGATTTGGGTTATTTGTTGTCCTTTGGGACGATCTGTATTTCCCAGCATTTCTTTGCCCTGAGGAGCTCAGCATTTCTGAAGCCTTCGGAGCCCTTGAGGAGGCAGAGAGGCGTCTTTGGCACCTGCCTGGCAGAGGAGGCGCTTGGCCCCGGGGGTGCAGAGCGCCACGGTGGCTCGGCTCGCCCAGTAACAGGGACAGATGGACCCAGCGGCGGCTGGACTGCTGTGCTCTGCTGTGACTGCTAGACTGACAGACCCGTGGTCATTCTTTGGCCTCGCACAGCATGCGATTTTACTCAGCGCTGTGGTACAACCTGGTGCCCCCCAAAAGGAGGGAAATTAAACGTTTTATTCGTCACTGCCTGCCGAAAATGTGTGGTGTCTTTGCCACCACCAGAAAAGCTCTTTTAACATTTATGACATTGGGAACTGCCTCCTTTTTGTCTGAAACTTGCTGAGTGGCTGGAAAGCTGCAGGGAGTCCCTCGTTGTGCTTTCTGTGGGAATTCATGGCTTACATATTTTCAGCTGTTGCCAGTGTAGCAAAATATCCCCAAACCTTGCTGTTATTTTGCATGGAGTTTTCCAGAGTGGCCTGTGGATCGGTGTTGGTGGCTCGTGAAGGACTGCACGCTTGCCTTTGGTTTCCTGTCCCTCCTGTTCTCCAAAAAGAGGAACAGAACAGACGGAAAGACATGAAAAAATACAGAGCAAAAGGAAATTAGACCGGATTCCTCAATTCCATTTGCTCTTCGTAAGAGCAGATTTCTGTAGACGATGGTAACAAAAGGAACAGTGATATTTTTATCAGCTCTTGATATATATATACAAACAGCTGCATAAGAGTAAGGAGAAATTGGGCTTATTGTAACTTCATTTGTGAAAAAAGGAAAATTGTACAATGAAGCAGATAAAGCTAAATGCATATGTTCTTCCCATTAAATTCACACAACAGCCATTGGCGGTAGAGAAATTTTCTTTGATTTGGAAGGACAAGGAAGGTGGACTTGTGGATGGGAAGCTACCTGTGAGAGAATTTGCCTGGAGATGTGTAAGATACACTGCAGAAAAAAAATCTCGCTGCTTTTGTCCTCACTGGAGTTTGCAAACCCCACGAATGTGATACAGTGTCCCACTTCTGGTGTTCCAAACCTTTGGTCAGCTGCCAGATTAATGGGGGATCTGGAACGTAACAAGTAATGTTAACATGTTTAACCATGGATTGTTATCATAGCAATGTAAATATTATTGTTAATATTTTGCTACAAGATGGTATAAATCACAGTTTCATGACAAAAACCTTATTTTGTATTCACAAATGAGCTTGGCATCGTATAACATGGAAAGGCTTGCATCATCCACAGATACCTTCAGGCAGTTAGATACAATGGTTCAGAATAAAAGAGTGTTTGAACAAGATCAGAGGGAAAGGAGAAAAAAATGTGTGCGAGAATAAGGAAGAGAAAACGTTCATCATCTTGCTGTATGTTTTCTCTGGAAAACAATTTGGCACAAATAATCTTTTTCTCAAAGTAATCTGCAGAAAACTGCATTTGCAATGCTAATTAAGCTGTGGTCTAATGCATACTGTGTTCCCTGCTAATTTAGGTGATTGAGAAAATTGGTATAAAGTTTAAATTATGGTTTAGACATAAATGGAACAAAGCAAACTTTATATTTTGTGTTTCCAGATAAAAATATTTCACAAAGAATGTGAAATCAAATCTAAAGTACTAAATTGCTCTTTTTGAGAAGATCCTGTTTCTGAAGTTATGAGCCTCCACAGGCAGTGAGTGGATTGCTTGAAGCGTTTCGCCTTTGAAGAAAGGCTTCATAATTAAATGGGCACTGGAGCTGTCGCTACCTCTGGATTTGAAATCTTAAATCTGTGGCCTTCTGAATTAAACTGTTGCTGTAAATTTATCTTTTTAAATATCGGAGAATGGCAAATAATTAGCTGGTTTGCTTATTTTTAGTACAGACACTTGAGGTAGGGAGGGAGGCAACTGTACTATGGTTTTGCTTCTGTCAACATGTATTTCACTTTGTGTCATATTGAAAAAATATGCTGGCATCCTGCTGCACAGCACTTCCATATTTTTGTGTTTTAAACAGCTGATTATATGCTCGTTCCATTTAGGAATGGAGCAGAAGCTTCTGGCATTGTGTTCAGCAGGCCTGCAGCTCCGTGACTCTAGAAAAGTAGAGATTTATGTGCGTCAGTTAAGCCTATAAACTTGCAACTCATAACTGCCCCTTAAAGCAGTATTTCAGGGTAGTATTTTCTTAATTCTAGGCAACAATTTATTGCTGCAATCCTGAGCGTATATGCTCTGTGGACTGTGTTAGAGTAGAAACTGCTGTGTACAAGGCTGTTCTAATTTAATTTTTACTGAGGTGTTGATTAGGATCCAAACTGATAAAAGGGAGCTAAGACCCTTTTCAGCAGAAAGCTGAGATGGTTTAAGTATTGCATGTTAGTAGGGAGCAGTGCTCTGTGCTCGCTGAGGATCAAGCTCTTAGTTTTGGAAAATCCTGGCAGAGGAGCCGTGTCCTTTTGGAAGTGAGCACATCACTTTCCGGACAGAGGAGCTGTGGCTAACAGCTGCTGCGGTTGCCATCCCCACTGAAGCTTTGAGGGTTTGTGCACAGGGACACCCAGATGCGTCGGTTGGGTTAGACTCTTGGTGCAGAAGAGCTTCTCAGCCTTCTGCCACCAAAGAATGACACGTTCCTCCTAACGCAGAGCCCGGCCTCCAACCAGACACGGTCCTTCTGCTTCCGTGGGGCTCTCTTCTCCGGAGGACGTTCAGATTCCCTTTCTAGCTTCCAGAAACCACAGCTTCCCCACTCAGTTGTCTGATTCGTGGTGGTGGTGCTGTGCTGGACGCGGAGAACAAGGAATGCCCCTTCGGGGAGAGCTTCTGGCAGCTCTAGCAGTGGCGTGAGAGCAGAGGTGGGGCTGAGCTTTTACTGGAGGGAAGGTGGAATGGGCCATAATTCCCCTTCCTCTCGTGCTTTCTGGTCACCTGCAGTATCACCTCTTACCCAGGCTGTACATCCTTAAAAATAGCCACTTCGCCAGCATTTATATGCGGAGAAAGACTGGAAGCTTTCCAGTAATAATAAAAGGGGTTGTTCAAATTGGGCAATCTGTCTACTTATTCATCTGGCAGTGATTCAGCAGCTCTCTGTAAAACATTTAACACAATTTTCTTAAATCCCAGACCCTTGTCATATATGAATGTGCTTTAAAATTGTGAGGCTGAACGCCTTGAAGCGAAGGCCCAAACTTCCCATTAGTTTTGAGCATGGAGTGTCATATTGTATATATTTTCCGAAAGTCAAGTAGCCCTAGCACTGACAGGTGTCAGCAAGACTTACAGATGTTTGGCAATTTAAAAATTTGATCTAAGATTTGTCAATCTCTGAATGCAAATCCAATGTCCTCTTAGAGATATGCTTTAAAATATTTTGGAGATTAAAAGAACTTCTTTTTTTGATTCAATCAGCAAAATGCGGAGCATGTGGTCCAGGATATGCAACTCCTCTGGATGCCATGAAAGGCAAGTGCTGTAACATCTTTCCTAAATCCAGGCCGTCAGTAAAGGAATTGTTTTCAAATTAGGTGAAGACTACATAGGTGCCTTCCAAAGTGGCTCATTAGTTAGCAAGGCCAAGGAGACTTTCAATATCAGAAGAGATTTTATTTCATTTTGCACCCAGCCCTGGGCAAAGCGTGCAGGCTCTGTTACCAGGAGTTCAGTAAATCGTAGCACTAAACCCAAGTGGGTCTGGGTTTAGATGTGTGCATGGTTCTAGGGTGCTAACACTCAACAAACTGTTCTGACTTTTTATGCTGCAAAATAGTTTTGCTTTAAGAATATTGACAGCAAGTGTTTAACCTAAAAAAAAAGTTGCACTGGTGTTTTTGAATGGATACCGTTATAGATTGCCTTCAGAGTCTCATAAAAACAAGTGACTGTCTAGGACAGAAGAAGGGACACGTAGGAGACAGGGCTGTGGGGTATTTTGTCTGGTATGGTATATTCTGTACAAAAGTTATGTTCTGTTCTTCCCAGCAGTGTCTGGCTGAATCCTGAACCTCACCGAGCCCCTTGGGGCATTTTGCTGTAGCTTTTAATAGTGCCAGAACTTCACCCTGAGTCTTTTGATATATTTTAAAAGCCTCAATTTTATAGATTGTAATAAGTAGGTTTTTGGCATAAGTAGACTGAAATCCTGGCCCTGGCAGCAGGGAGCCATCACTTGTGGAACCGGGGAAAGAGAGGCTTGGCATGGCCTGGCAGGGGGAGGTGGTCTCCAGCACTGCCCTTTTTCAGGAAAAAAAAACACAACTCCCGAGCCTCTTGTGTTAGGAAGGCAGGGGAGTGGAAAGGCCCCACAGCTGAAGGAGCACTTTCTCCTGGTGATTTCTGCCTGCTCCAACTAGACACTACTAGCGTTTCTCCATAAAATGGAAATGCTGAGGTTCAGCTTCCTAGGAGGAATCACAATTTACAGATGGAGAGATTAAATCCAGAGGAGATTCTCTTAAAGTTAGCCACAGCTTTTTGTAAAAATGGTTTCTTTTGACGCATTAAACAAGACTTCTGCCTTGAAAGGTCCGCGGGAGGAGATTGTGTACGTGCCCTGTATCTACAGAAATACCGGGATAGAGAAGCCTGACTACCTGGCCACTGTGGACGTTGACCCCGAATCGCCGCACTATTGCCAGGTACCTGTGCGCGGGACGGCTCCGCTGCTCCGTTTGCTGGGGCCGTGAATATCTGGGCTTGTGTAACCATCAGCAGGGAGATATTTGTGCTGAGAACCAATCAAATCCTCTGCTGCTTTTCTTACTAGGTTACTCAAGGCTAACGTTTATCTTGTTTTCTCAAGACACTTTCAGAGCATTTTTGTGCTTAGTATTTTAATAGCTCTTTTTGTAACACTGCTACTGATTTATACTGAGCATGAGCTCTAGAAGGTGGTATTTCCTCAGGGGGTGTCTGTGGTACAGACAGAGTTTATAATGTAGGATGCCTGACACCCTGGGAAATTCTACACGTTAAACATTATAAATCTAATCCATTTACTTCATAAATGGAAAGCTGTGGGTAGGTAGCTACCAATAGACCAGGTCCAAAACCTGGTAAGGCTGTCCTCAAGCCTCTTAGTTTGTTACTGCAGATAGTCTACACTAAACTGCATTTAAACATGCAGTGCTTGTATGACTCAAATTACCGAAGGTACTTTGGACTTTGAGCTCTGTGGGTTTAAGGACCAGCAAATCTGGTTTGACAACAAAGATTTTCATAATTTGTTCCTTTTTTTATAGCTACTGCTTAGGGTTTTATTGTGTCAGAGTGGAAGAAACAAATCTAAAACTTTGACAAACTTTAGCTGTAATCCTTCAACTTTTCTCAGTTATACAGTGGAAAAGGAAAAATCAGAAGCAGAGTGCAAATTAACATGTCTGTTTGCTACAGTCAGCCCCAGCTGTAATTAAGTAAATCTTGTAAAGTCAGAGACTTGCAGCACATGGACAAGTGATGTTTTTTTCTGTTGTTTTTTTCCATATCATTATTGCATGTCTCCTTAATTAGACAGTCTTTTAAAGATTCGGATTAATTTAATAGCATGCAACATTTAACAAATGCTATGCAATCATGATGTCCAACTTTCTTCTCCCACTTTACAGCTTCAGCTCTGCATATCTCAGGCTGAATCTGCTTCCTGAATAACAAATAGCAGTTTCCTTCTGCTCTTTATTAATTTATGCTTTGACATAAAGACCCATTTCTTTGCCTAGGGGAAAAACTATACCAGGCTGAATCTTAAGTCCTTCTCTGACTTTGTAGGTGATCCATCGCCTGCCCATGCCGAATCTTAAGGATGAGCTCCATCATTCAGGGTGGAATGCCTGTAGCAGCTGCTTTGGGGATGCCACAAAGAGAAGAAATCGTTTGATTCTACCAAGTCTGATCTCTTCTCGAATTTATGTGGTGGATGTGGGAACAGACTTGCGAGCTCCTAGAATCCATAAGGTATATTTCGACGACTTTAGGCTGGGCTTTTACTTCTTGTATTTTGACCAAGAGACAGTGATTTTATGGATTCCAACTTCAAAATAGAGTAGGAGAGCCAGAACAGTTACGGAAACTTTTGTCAAACATTAGGACCTTGTGGGAGTTTTGAAACTCCTACAATTTGCTGATAAACTACACAGAAGAATCTTACACTACAGAAATGTGAGTAGATCTGGTGTCAAGCGCTGAAGAATGAGGAAGTTCCAGAATTCAGCCTGCCTCTGCAATATGAATTTCAGTCAAAGTAGTTGCACACTGTATTATTGTTTTTGACTACAGGATGACGAGGCAAACTCCTACATGACACATGCAGCTGAGCATGTGTAGATTGTATGTTTTTTCAGCGATGAGTTCAAATTTGATTGGATTTTCACTGAGCAAAACCAGATCTCTTCTGTAAAGGACACCTCCTCCTTGATTTGTAATCCTTGGTTTCTAAGCATGTGATATGTAGATTTTTTTAAAAGAAAACATTAAGAAAATGTTTTAATATGGGGAAATGAACATTTTAAAAAATCTCTTGTTCATGGAAAGAAATGAAATTTTCACAAAACAAAACTTCCACTGCAGTAGAATTAATTTGGCATAGATACAGGGTTTGGTTATAGACTGATACTTTTCCACATCTAACTGCTTAGATTCTCTTTACAGTCAGTGAAAAATAAATAGGCATTGCTGGAGTCAGATTTGTCCAACCTAGTTTAGAAAACTGTTTTAGGGTAAAGGAATTGTGTCTTAAGAGTGTTTGTTTCTTTTCACTGACTACAAAGTAAGCATAGAGGATTAGCTTGGATGTAAATCCATACACTGTCAGTGTGTGTAATTGGTCAGGTGAATCTTACAGCAATGTGTGAAACTTCAGTACAGAGTTCCAGGTTTGGCAGAGACAAATTTAGTTATCAAAAGCATATTTTGAATACTGGTCATAATGCAGAATGTAAGGAAACTCTTAAGTGGTCTTTTGTTCCAGCCTACCTGCCTGCAAATACTCTCATTCACAATCTTTCAGTTTTGAGTTCCGTAGAACCTTACCAGCCTTTAATTATTAATACAGTGGAATAAAACCCCCAAAGGTCTCTTCTTGTACAGTGAATTTTGTTCAGACTGAGTCTCTGGCAAGCCTCAAAAGATTTTTTTTTTTCCCCTCTGAACTGCTAGTACTCCAGTGAGAGCTGATGTCTGAATATTGCACAAGTGGTGTTTCTGCCACTGATACTAATTAAAACAAACGCAGATGTCAGTGTCTCACTGATGCACGAATTAGACTGATTCTAAGCATTCAACTCTTGCTGATTATATTTTTGAGAAGAACAAATAAATGTCATGGATGGTACTGCGTTACTGGCCGGAGTAGAAAGCGGGAGGTGGCAGGTACTTGAAAAACAAAATAGCATTAGAAGCACTCCCCCTCACACATACGCCATTCCCACTCCTTCCTCAGTCTTTGAAACTTGAACTCTTAGGGGTGGAACTGGTGTTCTGTAGTGATCTCAGTGAAGGTGACTGTGACTGTGTGTACACTCATTTTAGATCGTTGAGCCAGTGGAGTTATTCTGGAAGGGGAACGTGGCTAATCCTCACACCTCTCACTGTCTGGGCAGTGGTGACATCTTAATCAGCTGTTTGGGAGACCCGTCTGGCAATGGAAAAGGTATTAATCCCCTTCATTACTCTAGAAAAGTATTTGTGGTATAGAAGTGCCATGCTCCCAAAGTACAGGCTGCAAAGCTGGAAGAATTTTGCAGAGCTTACAGTTCTTCTGTGCACTTAACCGTTCCAGCGGTTGCTTGTTTAACTATAGAATAAATACTCCTGTTACCGGGCAAGCTGTGTGGTCATTGCCCTGCCGCAGCAATTCAGACCTGATGTGGAGGAACCTCTGTGGGACTGCTGATGAGTTCAGCTTCCACGTCTCAGTCTTACACATATATTAGTAAAGAAAACCAACTGGTGGTTATAACACAAGCCAGAAACCCATTAGCATTTCACTTGGGTCCCTTCAGCATAGAGCCAGGAAGAATTGCGTTTGGCCATAATCTGCATCAGCTCAGTATTTGTGACTCGGGCATGAAAGATTCTGTTGCCAACCTAAATACTCTTTGTCTCATTGTCTAATGAAAATTAAGCCTTTCAAGCTATTGCAGATTGCATTTCCTATTGAAAGCTTTTGAAGGATTCTTGCGTATAAATTTTGTTACCTATTCAGAAGTAAACCACCTGACATCTAAAGAGAAATACTAGCTATTAGAAGAAATACGCTTCAGATGGTAAGTGGTTAACCCAGCTCCTTTTCACAGGGTTTTTCTCTTCTGAATCATGGGCAAACGTGTCCTTGAACAGATGCATATTATGTACGTAATTCAAGGATACTGGTGGCAAGCAAATTAAAACAGAGGTGACTCCTCCAGGATCTTCTCTAAGATATCCCTTAATTGAAATGTACTCTAGGAGGGCTAACGGATTTATTGGAATGTCTTAAGTAGAAATAGAGCAAACTGAAGCTTAAAAAATTCATTACAGTGTGATAAAGTTCTTTAAAAATCCAGCTTTTGTTTGCTTTAGTCCACGAAAGCAAAACCAACAGGATCACAACATTCTCCTATAGCATAGGGTTGTATTTTACATACTACTTAGAAAATAGACGTTTAAATATTAATGTAATATTTATCTTGTTTAAGGCCGTGAATCTGTGTGAATGTTTTTACACAATTTTCTTCGTTTTTTATGTCAGGTGGCTTTATTTTGCTGGATGGAGAGACCTTTGAAGTGAAAGGAAATTGGGAGAATGGGGAAAAGGTACCTCCCCTGGGTTACGACTTCTGGTACCAGCCACGCCACAATGTCCTGATGAGCACTGAGTGGGGAACCCCAAAAGCCTTGGCAGATGGGTTTAACCCAGCTGACATAGAGAGAGGTGAGGGAGCATTTGTTTAAGCTCTCAGAAGTAAAAGTGGTTCTTTGTTAAAATCCTATCTTCTATGCTTATTTTTGTCTGACCTGATCCATTAGGGCATTACGGCCGCCGCATTAATGTGTGGGACTGGAGCACTCACACCCACATTCAGGCGGTTGACTTAGGGAAGGGCTCCATACCTCTGGAGGTTGCGGTTCCTCCACAATCCCGATGCTGCAGAAGGGTTTGTTGCATGTGGGCTGAGCAGTGCAGTGCACCGGTTCTACAAGACAGAGGTGAGTAGTGGAAGCTGTGGCAAATGCAGAAGCCCAAACCTAGCTGTTTCAGAAATCCCCCGATCACTTAGGAAAGGGTAGAATTCAGATTAAAAGAAGCTGGCTCCTAATTCCAGCCAAGCTGTAACGTGGGCTCAGGGAGCAAACCTAGTGAGAGCGTGCATACAAGCCTTGGCTCTGTGGAGCTCCTGTTTGGTGCCTCATCTGGGAGCAGTGCAGCTGGTAGGTGTTTGGGGTAGCTCTGCAGGCGTGTTGCTGGTGTCCAGCATGCAAACCTTCAGCAGCCTGATCCTGCAAGGAGAGCAAAGCTTAAGCGGTCTGTCAGCCCCACTGCCAATGCTGCTGCCCTCCACCATAGCTTGTTGGTCAATTTAATCACAGTTAATGAACTGTGCAAGTGCCAGAGAGGGGAAGGTCTTGCCAACATTAGTGATCGCTTGAACATGAGTCAGTCGAATGAACAGTTGCACTGAGGAGAGAGCTGCAGCTTTCCTCGGCGGCTTGTTTTCTGGCCTACAAGCTGGTCAGCAAACACGGATCAGTTGGACAGCTAATCCGAACATGTGAAACTTGCCAGCGGTGCCAGTGAGCGCTGCCTGCTGCTCAGCCAGCATTTGGAAGTGTAGGGCAGGCCTGGAGGGGCAGTGATGGGGCCATGGGCAGGGAAGCAGAGCTGCTGCCGTTTTCGAGGGCGAGCTGGAGACGGGTAAGACACCAAGCTGTAGATCAGCAGTCTTAAGTTCTGCTCCTGTTACAGCAATCTGTTTGAGATGCTGCTGCACAGTATAGTCATTAACATTCTCACTGGCTGTATAGTTACCATCCCCACCCCTCGGTAACACTAATTTGCAGTGTGCATATCACCTCTGTACAAGACGTGTTAAATAAATAGCAGTATTTGCTTCTCCTCCCTCTGCCATGCAGAGCTGAGCCATCTTGGCGAACATCAAGGCAGTAGTAATGCTGTGTTCTCTGCCTTCTGCAGAAAGGAGACTGGGCAGCAGAGAAGGTGATTGAAGTACCCAGCAAGAAGGTGCAAGGATGGCTTCTCCCTGACATGCCTGGTTAGTGTGAGCATTTTTGGAAAAGAAATGGGGTGTTGTCCTCTCCAGTTCCCTGGTACAGTGTAGCTTGTTGCAGAACCTTATCCGTAAATGGGAAACACTTCCCTTGTATAAGGTACTAAATTTCTGTTTGGGTTCTTTGTGTAACACTTGTGATGTAACCAAATTAGCCTTGCTTATGAGCCACCACGTAGGAGATTGTCAGACCTCTGCTCCCACACTGCTCAATGCTGGAAGACAGTTTCTCTACAAAAATACTTGAGCTTTGGGTCTCTCAGCATGAGCTCACAGTATTCAGGAATGGTCCTGGGAATGCTGGTAGAGCCTGAACCTCCTTTGAGTAGGCACTGGCTTTCCAAGGATGATTGTGTTTGTTCAACCCACATCTTAATATATTTTTCTGAGGCTACTATGGCTAGAATTTCACAAGAAAATAGGCTTGTGGTCTTGTTGGTTGCTGGTCCTGTCCATTTCCTGACTTTGCTACTGAATATTTTCTTGAAGGTCTTATTACTGATATCCTCATCTCACTGGACGACAGGTTCCTGTACTTCAGCAACTGGCTGCACGGGGACATCCGCCAGTACGACATCTCCGACACCCGCAAGCCCAAGCTGGTGGGGCAGGTGAGGCAGCAGCAGAAAGGCTGTCACATACAAGGGCAGTACAGTCTGCTTATTTCCTTCTTTTCTGAAAAGGAGAAAATGACACCTGACTTTTGCTTGAGAATTGTCGCTATACTGCTTCAATGTTCCTTTGATAGCTGCTGCCTGTTCTCACACATGCCCTTGGATGCAGGTGTTTCTGGGAGGCAGCATCACAAGAGGTGGGCCTGTAACTGTAGTGGAAGACAAGGAGTTGCAGTGTCAGCCAGAGCCGTTTGTGATCAAAGTAAGTTTTCCTAACGTGCATGTTGTCAGTGCTCTGCTCGTTGTAATCCATTTTGAAATATCCCTGCACCTCAGTCAAAGGTGCAACATATGAAGCCATATCTGAGCCGGTTTGTGTCTTGGCTTCCAGCCTGGGCAGGTATCAGGTGTCAGCGTGGACTGGAGCTCGTAAATCGTGGTAAGTGTTCTGGGTCCCTGGTGGAATGGGACAAGCTGTTCAGCTGTACTGAAGCCTGTGTAATTACATCTTCCCTGCTGTTGGTAGCTGGCTAATTTAAAGCTGATGCAGTGTGCATTCATCACACTGCCATCATTGCTTCTGAGAAGCTTTCAGCAAGTGATGGTTGAAGCACTAAACCAGCTCATCCTGCAGTGGTGCCCGTGTATGTGTGTGTGAAGAGTTCGATGGCACCTGGCATCGTGATAGAAAACTCAAAGAGCATTCATTGTCTCTGGTCATTATCAATGTCCATTATCATTATTACCATCAAGGCAGCCACCTATGGAATGTCCCAAGATGTGCAAGAACTGAATGTGGTCATGACTGCAGTCTGTTGGCCACCAAAGGCAGTTGCAGGAGGTTCCACACAGTCCTTTTCTTCGCAGTGCAGACCTCGCGGCACTGTGCTGATCACACTGTGTTACACCACCCACCTCTTGGTTGATTTTTGACGCTTCCATCCAAGTAGAGCAACCTGAACCCTTCAGCCCTTACCTTCTTACGTTACTACTTCTGCAAATTAAATGGCACTCATCTGAAATGGCTTTGAGACTCTCTGTTAGTAAGGAATAAGACTCCCAATAAAAACTGTTCTGTCTCCAAAGTAGGGGACTGGGTGCTCCTGTGTCAAGGATTTCAGAGTGCTGGATGATCCTCCGAGCAGCAGAACTGCCGTGCTGTTTTATTTCACCTTGCTGTTGCATTTCTTCTGTTCAACCTCTGTGGCAGCTTGTCTTGAGCACCTTGTTCTCTATTATCATTTCAGGGGAAGAGGGTGCCCGGTGGACCTCAGATGATTCAGCTTAGTTTGGATGGGAAGAGATTGTATGTCACCAACTCTCTCTACAGTGGATGGGACAAGCAGTTCTACCCAGATCTCATCAAGTAAGAAAACTTTGGTAAACGAGGATGGCTGTACAAACCCATGGTCAAGATTTTTCTTAAACAGTGATATTCATGTGCCAGCTGGTATACAGAACAAAGTTCCCACGCAGGGAGAGAGAATCCAGTAACTTTTTATGCACATGGGCACACGGAAGCTGGGGTCTGCACACAATCTTTGTTGAAATCATGATTTATTTGGAAATAGATAAGAACAGGAAGAAACCAATGAATGTGACCTGGGCTTCCAAACTGCCTTTGAGTTATCAGCATGACTTTCTGTTTTTTGGACTTAAGGAAAGTGATGATCTTCCAGATGGCCACATGAGGGCATAGTACAGCTTGCCCATTCCTTTATAAGTAACAACAGCTATTAATTTTCATTCATTCATTGCTAATTTGAAGTTTCAGGTTCCACTGAGCCGGTGTAATTCACTTTTGAGACCTGCTAAGGTCCATTTTGAATCTGGGATTCTTTCCATCTTATATTAAACAAAGACAAATCCTGCCCAAATGTGGAAGAGAAGAGCAACAAATATGAATCCTTTTCCCAATATCTGTTTTCTTGTCCCTTTTTCAGGGAAGGCTCTGTTATGCTGCAAATTGATGTGGATACTGAAAGAGGTGGACTGAAAGTGAATAAAAACTTCCTAGTGGATTTTGGGAAGGAACCTGATGGGCCTGTCCTAGCTCATGAGATTCGTTACCCTGGTGGAGACTGTACCTCTGATATCTGGATGTAATTGCTCTCTGGAGCTGTTTGCCTTTTTTTTTTTTTCCTTTCTGTAATTTTTTTTCTCTTTTTCCCTCTCCTCTCTATCTTCTACTTCCCTTGTATAGGTGAATCGGGTCAGCTGGAACCTTGTCTGCTCTCTAAACTTGGACTTCCATTAGGGTGAGCCACAGAAGCTCCACTTTCTTCTCATTCTGAGGCAGCCAAGTAAATCCCTCTGAAACATGATACACATCTCATTTTCTCTCCTCCTTCCCCTTGTGCAAGGTCCTGTGTATTCACTGTTGACTGTTGGTTTCAAGGCCAAGGTCACCAGTCTTTTAAGGAGTGTTCGCCTTGTTTGGTGCTGCTTTGCCTTGCCGCTGTTGTTTGTTGGTGGAGAAACTGTTCCTAAATAACTCCATGAGGAGGATACAGTCCATGGGCTTGCCTCAGAGCAAGGGTGTCCTGCCCCTGCCAAGCTTCATTTGCTCATAAAGTGATCAGTGCTTTACAGCAGACACAGCATAAAAATCATGCGTATCTAATCTGAAGCCACATGTTTCCGGAGCTGGGTTATATTTTAACATTTGTGCACTGAAGTTAGAAAAAATCAACAATAAAGTTGTTCTTCAAGTCAGGTGGAGCCGCACATTGTTTTTTTTTTCTTTTGAGCATTTCAGCATTTTCTATTTCAGAGAACATAAAATGTGAGATCATTTCAGAAAGTTAACAGTGTCATTTGTCTAAAAATTCTTTGGTGAGGCATTTATTTTCGCTGAAGCCACCTTTGTTCCCATTACTGCAAGCAAAGATTCTTCCCCATTTTGTAAGACTGGAGAAAACTGCAAGAAACTTTTCTGATGGTGCTAGCGGCAGGTGTCTTGCAGGTGTCTTGCAACTTCTTGAACAGACAGGCGCTCACAAGTCCGCCCTTTCTTCTCTTGCCAGTTGCTGATGCATCTTCCCTGAGCCGTCGCTTGGCTCCGAGTCTCTTCTCTGCCTCCCCAGCTCTGCTGCTCGCCCGTCCGTGCCCGCCGCCAGTCTCTGCCACTTCCCGCCCGGCTTTAGCGTTGCCGCTTGTAACGCTGGAGTCACACCAGCGGTGTGTTAATGGGACTTCCCGCTGGAGCCTTTTCCCTGGGTTTTTCCAACTTTTACTGTGCTTCCACGGCAAAATCCTCACCTAGCTGACAGATCTTACTTCCTAATCAAGGCCTCATTCTGTAGGTAGCTGCTTGCTGTCTTGCCCACCGTGTCTGGAGCCACGCTTTGAGAGGGCAGCGCTGTGTTTTCAATGTGGGGCAGCGGGACCGCTGCCGCTTGGTCTTTCTGAAACCTGCGACAAGCAGTTCTGTAAGGGCCTTGTGGAGCCAGAAAGCTTTCTAACTGGCAAGGCATTGTAGCCACCTGTGTCTGATGTAAAGCCCTTTTTCAGCAGCTTTTTGGTAGAGATGGGTGCTGTTTAAACCGCCCCACTGCAATGACTCACTGTTTTCCTCGCAAAGAGACTGCCTTCCAGAATGGGGTATACGCTGCTAACCTGTGTGAACGCTGCTAACGGGCACGGTGAACACTCGGTGTCTGAACAGTGTTGGTCAGGAAAGCCACTAATTTCTTAGGAAAGCGTTTGCTACCAGGAAGTACCGCTGAAGCCCGGATTTTTTTCGCACCTATTTCCTATACGACAGCATTTTAGATTGGAAAAGGTACATGATCTTCCACACGGCCACGTGAGGGCAGACGGCAGCCTGGCTTCATCCCCTACAGGACTACACCTGGGAGTTGCACTCTGCTAGCAATATTAGGTAGTGATTTTGCACAGATTACAAACTTGCTAGTGAGGGTGGCCCTCGGGCCTCTTCTCGGCCCATCAGTGCATTGCAGGGTGACTGAGGTCTCTCATTCCAGCTACAGCGAGCACTTCAGTCTGAGTCCCATCCTGAATCCCACTTGGAGATGCCCCTAAGTACAAGCGTGTAGAGCTGCTGGAGTGCAGATTGCTTCTAGTCCTTGTAAAAGGCAAATGTTAAATACAAAAAGGTGCTTAGAGAAGGAAGAGGAAAGCAAAGTGTGGGACTGACTTGAGTTAAAATATTTCATTTTTCCTAACATCTGCTTATCTGGGTACTGGAAAAGGTAAACTGTGACTAGAGAGTTTCTTGTGATTCTGGGAAGAAGCCAGTGGGTCTTGTCATGCTTATGGGATCCATGTCTGTAGTAGAGATTCTGCTTTTAGTATGTGTGCCTGTCTGGGTGTACCTCATTGCAAGGCGAGCTTTACCATGGCGAGCTTTACCGGCCTGTATGGGCATGGTCCTTGGCTCTAAGGAGGTTTCTGAGGGGACGCAGTCATGGTAGATGCCCCCCAGTCAGAGGCCATTGGAAATGGGCCCCAAAATTTCAGACCTGAGCCAGATACCTGCTCTTTGGAGAGTCTCTGAAGGTGTTGTGAAGCCTCACCCTAATGACAGACCGTCATGTCTCATGCTTGTCAGAGCAGAAGAAGCACGTGCAGTGAAACGAAATAAGTTGGTGACTGCAGAGCAGGGCCAGGTATCTCGTGGGTCAGAAAAGGGTACTCACATGTTCATTCAGGAGCACTGCGGGGGTTTCACCCACTGGCCAAAATCCATCCTTACTCACAGGCACACAAAACTCTGGGTCTGAACGCGCTATTTCGTACTGTTTGTTGAAATAATGATCTGTTGGGAAGTAGGCAAGAATGTGAAGAAATGGGTGAACGTGAACTAGCCTGCTGCGGTCCACAACACTTCCAAACTGCCTCTCGGTGCATGAGCCCCACTCCAATTTTTGGCATTAAGAACAGCAGGCGATCTTTCAGATGGCCACAGGAGGGCAGAGTGCAGCTTCCCTATTCCCTCCTAAGGTACCATTTCTTGGTTTTCAGTCAGATTGTTAATTTGAGGTTGCAGATTCATTGATATTTCTGCTGCCAGGCCATATCCAAGACAAGTAGGTGTGTTTATATGAAAAGAGAGTCAATTTGTAGTATTTGCAACAAGTGTGAGAGGACAGCAAGACATATGGCAGTTAGTAGCTGAAAAAATTATAGAATGGAAAACAGTTTGTGCTTAAGTGAAGCCAGAGCAGTTGTGATGAGAATCAGTGTTAAAACCCCCTATTTTTTTGTCTGCTACCCTGAGCTCTCTACTCCGCCAGTGAAGACTGACATCCTACTTCTGAGTTTAAGTGCAGGGAAGTGCCTTGTTGTAGGCAGAGAGGCTGACCAGAAACTCCTACAGAGACGCGTAAAAGAGGCCCTGGAGCGGGACGTGAGGCGTTCAGTTCAGCTGCTCAGCATGTGGGGTCCTGGTTCGCCTCTCGCGCTCCGTCGGAGGAGGAGAGTCAGCCCTTCCTGCTCGCAGGAGTTCTCAGCCTGGAGCCTGCCGTGCCGGGCTCGCAGGGACTTTGAGGCGAGTTGCTAAAGCCCGTCTCGAGGCGGAGGCACGGCCGAGGAGAAGCAGCAGGTCCTGCTGGTCCGTCCCCCCCAGCTGCGTGGTGCCGGTGCCGAGGGAGCGATTGTGCGGCCGGGGGAGGACTCGCTTGGAGGAGCTGATCCGGCAGAAAACTGCGCGGCCGAAAAAGTGACTCCCGGGCCACCTCCCTGCGGCTGCCCGCGGCGGGGCCCTTCGGCGGCCGCCTGAAGGCACCGCTCCTTCCACGGTGCCTGAAATCACAACCGCAGGACGTGGGCTTCGAGGGGCTTGGCCGGTTGGAGCTGTGGGCTGGGGTGGGGAGGGGAGGGGTGACCCCACTGCCGCCGGGCTTCTGGCCGGAGCTTTCTGCCCCCTCCCTGACTCGGGCTCCAGCAGCAAAGCTCTCCCCGGGAGGGGCCGGGGTGGCTGAAATGGCAGCGGCAGCAAGGCAGAGCGGAGCCTCGGGGGGGAGGCGGGGGGGTTGTGCTTTGCTGCTCTCCCCCCCAGCAAACCCCGTAGCCGGCACGCGGCGGTGCGGTGTGTTTCGAAGCGCCGTGCCGAAGGCACCGCGTGTGCCCGGCGTGCGTCCGGCCGCCCCGCCACGCTGGGTCTCTCTCTGCTCGGGGAGGGGACCGAGAGAGCCCGGGTGGGGGGTCGGAGCTTTGCACCCTCTGCCTGCGTGGAACGGCGGGTGACTTTCGCCCCCAAGGTGCCGCTGCCCTCCCGGCAGTTTGCGTCACCAGCGGCACCGAGCTGGACAGTTGTTGTTCAGGTGCTCATTGGCACGGGGCGCTCCTGACAGTCTGCGGGACTTCAGCTTTGAGCTCTCCACGCGGCTCGGGCCCAGATGGGCCACGACAGAAGCAGCCGGCACCGCGCTCGCCTCCCTCGGAGTCCTAGAGGCAGTGCCCGTGCAGCAAGGCTTCAGGGACTGGCTGCATTAAGGTCCCCTTCTCTCTCTGCCTCTCGGAGCGAAAGAGCTGTGCCCTCGTGTGGCTGTGGGACCCGCCGCCTGTCCGCGCCCGGCCTGAAAGATGAGTGTCACCCCTTTGGGGTGCAACGGAGGGAGGCCTCACGTGTTCTCCAGGTGCGTCCTCGAGGCAGAGGAACGGGCCGATTCCTCTGAGCTTGGGTTTTTTCCTGGTTTTGTGTGGTGGAGAGGAGAACGCACTGCCGAGCTCCCAAGCTCTGCTTCCGCACATCGTCAAGCCCGGCTGGCAGCTGCTTCTAGTCCCTGCAGCTCAGGACCGGTCGGCAGTAGACCCTGATGTGCAGAGCTCGGGGGGCTCCGGTCCGCCACTCCCTGAGCCACGTCTTGAAGAAGTTGACCCTGAACTCTGTTTGGCTTCCCGGGCCACAGCAGCAGCTTGTAAATTAACCGGCAAACCTTGCCCCTGCTGCTCCAGGTGACGAATTGTGCCTGTTTTGACACCAGGCTTGCACGGTGAGGTTCTCCTTCTGCCCCCAGAGAGGGGGGTGGACCGGAACGGAGTGAAGCCCGTGGGAGATGTGGAGCCTGGGGAGCTCCAGGATGACGAACCTCTGCCGGCGTGTTCTGCTGGGACACCGGCACTGACCACAGTCTCTCCAAACGCTCAAGGGGCTCCGCTGCCCGGCCTGAATGGGGCAGAGGAGAGAGCATGTGCCAAGAGAGCCGGCGGGCCGGGCGGAAAGCCTAGGAAAGGGGGATGGAGGAATGCAGGATGAGGAGCGACGCCTCGACCCCCTGGGGCAGCTCCGGGGTTTTACGGCTGGCTGAGGCGGGAAGCAAATGTCCCCCCCGGCGAACTGGGGCAAGGCTGGAGACTGCTCTCGTAGTCGGGGGAGCTCTTGCCTGGGTGTTCCGGGCAGAGCGGGCGCTCTCGGTGAGGCGAGGTCTTCGCCCGGCACATTCAGCGTGCTGTGCCAGCGTGCACGAGATTGCATCTCCGAGCCTTGCCCATCAGCAAAATTAGAGCATGTTCTTCCCTCTCAGGGGCGGGAGGGATGGTCGGGAGGAGGGGAGCAGTTGCCACCTGGGCGTGGGCCGTCAGGGAAGCCCCTGATGGCTTCTCCACCTCCTGGCTTCCCGTCTCTGCCTGCCACAGGGAGCTTTTCTTGGGCGGAGAGCAGTGATTGTGGTCCCCGCTAACCATCGCTTGCTTGCCCGTCGGTGTTGCCGAGCCTGCTCTTATCCTTCCCACCATCAGCTTTCATTAGA